GTTTAGATAAAATGGATTGGGCTTTTATNCTTTTATTTTTCTTGGGCTGAAATAAAGGGTAGGTCGGGTTTTGTAATGGGCTGGGGTTGATCTTCAACATTCTGTAGAGTTATAAGGGAGCATCTCTCTGTTCAACAGATGCACTATATCCTGCAAGCCAATGGCCAGGATCCTCTGCGCTCATATGACGCTGTCGTTGCTATATGGTTAGTCGCATTAGAATTTTTGTGATTACGCGTCAATATGTTTATCATTAATGCAGGCCAAGGACATGTAATAATATCATAGGTGGAAACATTACAATTGCAACTAGTGGTGATAAACGAGCCGAATGAACGAGATCGCGTTGTCTGATAAGCCTATTTTTTAAAACGAGTCTAAAATAACGTTCAAACTAACTATTTTACATATAAACGAACTGAATTTTAAAAGTTCAACTAAGTTTATAGGGTTTGATTTCTAAACGAGTCTTAAAAAATTGTTCGAGTTTAACTCGTTTATGAGCCCTATGTGCATTAGCATATTTTTGGAAGGTTGGAAAATTGGTAATGAAATTTGTGCATGCAAATTTCTTGTGTGGTTTAAAAATGGTGTAAATATTCCGTACAAATGTGATGGCTAATAATAAGATTATGTATTCAAATTATATCCCAATATCCATATTGAGCAAGTGGTACTTTATTTTTGACAAGGGGTATCATAGTCAAATAATAAATAACAAAATGGTATTGGATTATGTTGGATAAACACATGGTATGAATAACATGCATGGGATAATCATGTTGTATGAGGTGGAAGATCAAGTTAAGCAACTTTAATACAATCAAAACTCATGAAATGGGTAAACACATGATATGAATAACATGCATTTGGTAATTATGTTATATGAGATNTTAAGCAACTTTAATACATCAAAACTCATGAAATGGGTAAACACATGATATGAATAACATGCATGTGGTAATTATGTTATATGAGATGGAAGATCAAGCTGCTTTAATACAATCAAATTAACTCATGAAATGGGTACCATGTATCCGAGCTAGTTATTTCGAAATTTTATCGTTGAGTGGTTATACCATGTGTATGAAAAACAAATATTTATTCACTAAATGGTAGACAAGAATTTTCAAGCGGCTTTATCTATTTTTACTATGGTTGCTTGAAGTTGCATAAATAGTCTAATCCTCACATACTTGCAGCCAAGATCTGCTGTTTTATGGGCCGTTGGATACCTGTACGGTATGTGGCCGCACTTTGGAATTCACCGGCATAAAATATTGGTGCAAAGGAACTCTCAGTGAGTGGATTACTTGCATCTACAGCACAAGAGATCCGCCGAGGAAGCAGGAACCGATCAAATTACCCGATTCCATTAAAAAATCTGTAGTTTGGGATGTGATTCAAAAATTTCTTTATTTTAGAGTTGATTGAGGCCATAAGGTGCATTGTTAATCTATGAATTGATCATATGTTTTCCTCTATAAATGCTGGTATAGTTGCTGAAAAAACACCAAGAGCCAAAAGGTTGTCCTAAGAGGAAGCTAGACCTAGTGCATATAGTATTTGCGGGAATGACTATTTGTCTCTCGGGCCGTCTTAGCTGAACACATGTATGTCCTGCTATAGTTACCATTGCAGATCATGTTGTGATCTTGTTCATATGTGTAGTTGATCATAATTAACCATTTGATGTGGTTTGTAGAGAGAGTGGAGGTCAATTATTGAAAAACATGGAGGAAAAGTAGTCAACTCTGCTGTTGGTAATGCTCTAAAGTTCGAACCAAAATTAGCTACCTTGGGGTGTTCAGCTTGCTTTAAACAATTTTTTTTGGGACCATCTTTGTTTGCAGGTGCGACTTGTCTAGTAGTATCTCCTGCTGAGCGAGAACGTGGTGGCTCGGTGAAAATTGTGCAAGCCATGTTAGTGCTTTTCACTGAGAATTCATGATACTAGTATTGGATTTTGATGATGACCCAAAAAAATTTGGATATTGAAGTAAGGAATTTTCTATTGGATATTATCTAATTAGACCACACTGTGTACCGTACATGTTTCCATTAGTGTTGCTCAAGGAAGGAAATCGGTATGCATTGCAAATCAAACCCCCCCAAAAAAACTCACAAAAAATTATGTTTCTGGTTGAAATAATGTGTAGAAATGAGGGAATTGTTATGCGATACTTTCATATTTGATATCCATTTAACTGCTCTGGTGTGGGATTTCCTTGGTATAGAGAGAGGGGCGCATGTACCTATAGTGAGCGAAGCTTGGTTGATCGACAACCTTGAGTAAAAAGAAACCCAATTGTTGGAAGATTATGATGTTCTTGGAGATCTTACCTTATATCGCAGAAGAACTACGTGGGAAGAAAAGGTATATCCTTGACTAACACATGGATAAGAAGCTTTGAATTCGTGTATTAGTGCATCGAAAACACATTGAACTTCGATATTTTGTGTGCAGCTCAAAGTATATGGAAAGAGAGGAGTCCACAAAGATACCAAGTTGGTTGAGGAAGGAGAGATCTTTGAAAGGGATGGCATATTGTTCAATTGTGCCCTTTCTGTTTGTGACCAAGGACGAGGAGTGAATGAGTACTATGCAGATCCTTTTTCACTTNAGGAGAGATCTTTGAAAGGGATGTCATATTGTTCAATTGTGCCCTTTCTGTTTGTGACCAAGGACGAGGAGTGAATGAGTACTATGCAGATCCTTTTTCACTTGAAGATCTTTTTGTTTGGGTGTTTGCTCTGAGTAGCTAATTTTAATGGATACAAATTTTGCATTATGCAACTGATCATGGTACCGGAGAATGACATGCACATGTACTACAAGAAAGGGATAGTTTATGGCTATAGAGCAGAGGAGAGGCTCGAGGAAAGGGACGATGTAGACGGTGCAGTCAAGTAATTTGCTAGACTTTTTGAGGAGCTCACAGGAAACGAATTTGAACCATGGGAAAGGGAGAAGTTGATTCAGAAGGATCCTTAGAAATTCTATCCCATTGATATGGTACAGATCTGCCATTTCAATCACCCAGATGCCTCTAGGCGTAGTCTATAGATATAAATCCCCTTCTTTAGACAATAAATTACAGGATTTAAAAAATGCAATTCTGTTATATGTGTTTAGTTTATGTGCTTAAGAGGGTTCTATGTTATGTGTAGGATGATGGAATAGAGGTTAGACATGGGGGGCTTCGCTGGAGGCAGCTTGGGTTTGCAGTGGCACATTGCAAGCTTGATCGAAGGGTAGCCAATTTCATGAACGTTCTTTGTTATCAGGGGGTCTACAGGTGTGTCTGTTTTTCAGTTGCTCGGTGTGCTCTTTTTACCCTCTTAGCATGCTGATTTCTGCATTTGGGACATAGGTATGCCTTGATGGAAATGGGGTTAGACGTGTCTGACATTCCGATTGGGATGGTTTCCAATGTCCACTTAGAAAGATGTAGTCTCTCTCTCTCTCTTTCCTCCCCTCTTGTGTCCGTCTCTCTATGTGCATGTTTTTGACTATGCACGCTCATGGAATCACTGTGTTCAGGTGAAGAGCTACTCCTAGAATTGCTAAAGAGACTAAAATTGATGGAGGCGGTGGGGCTAAAAGCCGAGGTGGCATGGTCAAATTTTAGCCAGTTATGGTTTACTCTTTTGCACCATTGCAGGCCTTTCATCATCCTGGACTATCAAAATCTTGCAAATCATGTAAGATGTTCTTATGGTTCTTGGACATTGTGTCGTAGTTCTATTTAGTTTGGAATTGTGTTTCTGTTGGGCATATGTATGTTGCATATGCATTGGAGACTGTCAGAGACATTACCGTGGCTTCCTATCTCATTGGAGACATGACAGGTCCTACCATTGATGATCCTCTATCTAAGAGATACAAGAAATTGGGATGCTCTATTTCTTCTATGGAGAAGGGTTTGAACAAGTACCATATGATCCTGACCTACCTGGAAAGAACTTATGAACCAATCGAAGTTGGAGACCATGTAAAATTTCAATTCGCCATTACTACATTTTTGGTTACATACAATCCATCTGGCGATCACATGTAATGAGGTTCCAATTCTGATCCTCCAGACTTATGGAGTATTTGTCAAAAACATGTTTGTCGTTGAATCAAGTGGTTGTCCCTTCTACGATGAAATAAGGAAACAACCAAATAAAGTCCTACTGTGGTGCGGTAAGAAGATTCATCAAGTTTGTACTATGTATGCTATTGAGGGGTAATTCTGTAAAACTTGGCTGTAATACTCTGTTTCTCAATCAGGAACTCGGGGTTCAAATATGTTAAAACATTTGAAGAAAGGGTTTTTACCGGCAATATGTTCGCTGCCAGTTCCAGGATATATGGTGGGACAATTGCTGATTGCAGGCACTATAATTTCTAGTTATTTGCTTATTGTCTGTGTTTCGCGTCACAGTTTGGGAGGGCTATTGTCTGCTTCGACGCTGCAGTTGAAGCTGCAAAATATGCATTTATGGCTGTGGACAGGCCAGAAGGGTTCTTGATTTTGGCTATTGTTTCTCTAGGAGAACAAGTCCTCTAGTTTGATAGTCCACCAGAGGTATGTGAGCTTTAGGATTTTAAGTCAATCTGCTCGGACCAACATGCAACTATGGGTTTGTAATTTTAATTGAATGGTGCTGGATACCGAGTCTTTGGAGGAGAAGAAGGTTGCAGTGAAGGGTTTGGGGAGAAAGACTACAGATGAATCGAGCACATTGTTTGGATGGACAACATCAAGGTGCCTTGTGGTCGCCTCGCTCCTTCAGATAGTCCTCTAGAGTACAATGAGTATGCTTATGACCCAAAACAGGTATGACAAATATTTTACAAGAGTGTTAATTTTGGCTTGACATGTTGACATGCCACAATATGAACTTAAAATTGATACATGAATTATCTACTGGCATATATAAAGAAAACGCCTTTTTTTTTTTATATATATATATTTTCATCTTTCGATCTAGTATTATAAGACTTGTTGACGAACTACATGGTTTTGCATCTGTTTTTATTAGGGTGAGGATTGAGTAGGTTTTTCATTTGTGGGGATATTGATTAGATGAAAAACGATATGAACACTACTCCAATTCACATAATGACCGAAATGACGTAATGATAATTTTGTGAGAATGCTGCATGAGGGAATTTCTCCCTCTTTAATTTGTCTTTTGCTTTCTTATCAGGTGAGCATGAGGTTCGTGGCGGAAGTGAGGTTTGAAGAAGTAAATAGAGCATAGAAATTGAAAAGGAGGAAGAAGGATGAGATGAACAAGGTTTTTTGTATTCGTGAACACAGCTGGAGATATAATAACCCTTTTTTATTTCTAAGTTACAAAAAATACTGAGGTACACGTCCTCTATTTAAATACAAAAAAACTGTGATGAGTCCGTATAACGGGTAGCATAAAATCCGAGATACAACTCAACAAGGATACTCCTACTCCAAGACATGCTCTGTTTTGAAGCCTAAATTTGCTCAATCAATTTGTTGGGATTTCCTTAACTAGTCGAACTACCATTTTCGGGTTGAAGTTGTTGCCATTGATACTCCTTCATCCTTCAATGTCTCTTCACTATTGTAGCATGAATTGTGGGAGTTTCTATCACAGTCCCACAATTCACGTCGAGATGTTGAGTTGTGCCAATACCCTCCCTCAAACTGTACTGGGGTTGGAGGCAGAGTTTGGTTCGAAAGTTGTTGAGTGCAACCTTTGATATTGGTTTGGTGAAGAGGTTTGTTACTTGCTCTGTAGTGGAGATATGTTGAGTGATGAGTAGTCCAAGTGCAACTCGTTCGCGCACAAAATGGTAATCCAACTCAATGTGTTTGCTATGAGCATGAAACACCGGATTTATTGTCATGTGAGGAGCACTAATGTTATCGCAGTATAGAGTTGGTTTAGATGCCAATGAAATGTGAAGATCTTTAAGGATGAATGCCATCCATGTGAGTTCAGCTGCAGTATTAGCCATGGCTCGATATTCCGCTTCGGTGCTTGACCGAGAGATTGTTTGCTATTTTTTTGCACACCAGGAGATGAGATTTCTACCAAGAAACGTACAGTATCTAGTTGTGGATCGTCTTGTGGTGGGACACCCCGCCCAATCTGCATCAGAGAAAGCACAAAGATGAAGTGTTGTATTGGAAGTAAAATGCAAACCTATGTCAATTGTGCCTTTGACATATCTTAGGATCCTCCGAACCATTTTTAAATGCACAACAATAGGAGCATGCATGAATTGTGAAACATAATTCACACTGTATGTAAGATCTGGTCTCGTGAGAGTTAGGTACTGTATAGCACCAACAAGTCCTCTAAAATAACTTAGATCTTCCAGCAAGATATTATTTGATGAGGTCTTGGTTTTGGCTTCAAGAGGTGTGCTTATAGGCTTGCAATCGACCATGTTAGCTCTCTCAAGGATGGTAAGAGCATAGTGAGATTGGAACATGTGAAGACCATCAGAAGTTTGAGAGATCTCGATGCCAAGGAAGTGATGAATTTGGCCCAAGTCCTTCATCGCAAATTCAGAGCTCAAGAGTTGAATGAAGGTTAAGACCAGAGCTGTGGAGGAACCTGTGAGGAGTATATCATCTACATAAAGAAGGAGGATTAGTGTTCCAAGGATAGATTGAAAAACTAAACAAAGATGGGTCGGCTAGGCTACAAAAAAAATCCATATTTAAGGAGAAAAGCACTAAACTAATCAAACCAAGCACGAGGTGCTTGTTTAAGACCATAGAGAGCCTCTTGAAGCTTGCACACATGTTTTGGATGTTCGGGATCAGCCATTCCCAGAGGTTGTTACATGTATATGTCTTATGAAATTAAACCATGAAGGAATGCATTTTTTACGTCAAGCTAACGCATGGGCCATTTTTTAACAAGAGCTATGGTGATGACCATTCGAATAGTTCCAGGTTTGATGACTGGAGAGAAGGTTTCAGTGTAGTCCAGACCATCCACTTGATGATACCCTTTTGCCACAACACGAGCTTTAAGGCGATCCAATGAACCATCGGGTTTGAGTTTTGGTTTGAGTACCCATTTTGAGCCTATAACATGCATGTTAGAGGTACGTGGAACAAGCTTCCAGTTTGATTTTTATGCAAGGCTTCGAGTTCTTCATCCATTGCTGCTTTCCACCCCGGATGAGCTAGAGCAGCTTGTATGTTATGAGGTTCACGAGGGATGTTGGCTGAGAATATGGAGGAAGTCAAGGCATATTTTGGATTGGGTTTAATGATTCCTCTTTGAGATCTAGTGATCATAGAACGTGAGGGTTGTGTTTGTGGTGTTTGATTTTGGTGAGTTTGGGATTGCAAGCTGGGTTGATCTATATTGATATGAGGAATGTTGAAGGTTTGCTTAGACATTTCAACATGCAAATGAGGTAATTCTTGGTCTGAATATTGCGGAGACGCCATCTCAAGTGCAGGTTGTGATGTTTCGTGTGTGGAGGTTTGCATCCCATCGGACTCT